TGGCATAACCCTAAACTGAAAAAAAACCAAAGTCACCGCTATCGAGTCAACAGTGATTGACTGGCAGTTTCGAACTGCTGACTTGGCAGTTAGCAACGCCACGCAAAAAATTAAGCCACCAGGCCTCCATCCTTACAGAGTAAGTAGTTAGTAAATATGTTTTAGGGGTCCCTGGGGGGTACGAGCAGTTAAGCGCTTGCCTCCTAACTGATAGGTTCCTGGTGGCACCATAGTGTTAGTACTCGTAGTACCCGTGCCCATTTTTCCAGCAAAGGAGGTAACAAACAGAAGGACACTTTGCATAACCGAAGTAGCTGCACTTGCATAACTTGGAACTCACAAGTGCAGCACATAGTGTTTGTTGTTTTGTTGTTGTTCTTGTTGTTCTTATTATTGTTAGCTGACATCAAGCCAATTCCAGCTCACGGGGCAGTCTTGTGGGTCCAGACTAGAACCAACCGCCCCTGGGGGGTTTCAAGACCGTCCTTTCAGAAGGAGGTCCCCAGGCCTGTCTTCTGAGATCCTCCCCGGTGGGGACACAGATGGACACTAGTCCCAAGAGAAAGAATAAGATTGTTTGATCTTGTGGACTTGCAGGATCGCTCCAGCCAGCATCCAAAGGATTGCCCGCAGTGCTCTTAGAAACGGCTTGCTCAGCAGCCCTGATAATCCTTCCTTCAAGGGAACATCCTGTGACTGAGTGTTCCTTAAAAATATCTTTCAGACTCTGTGTCATAGGCTCTCTTTTTTGAAACCAGCAGAGAGTATCTGGCAAGAGGGGCCTAAATCATAATTGGGGGGGGTGAGGAGAACATGCTCTGTAAAAGGACTGCCCACTAGGAGGGGCCCAGTCTCCGGGAGATGCCTCTAAAGGCCCCAGTGCCAGAGCTGGCATGCAGGAAGGAGTGGGTGAGAAGGGTGGAGACTCTGGGGGAGGAGATTTTTCTCCCTGGGAAATCACAAGGGTTGCGCTATAAAACTTCACGGTCTATTCCAGTCTAGTGGTTATTGCTCGGCCACAGAAGGAGAACAAGTCAATAAATGAGAGGGAGCTGCTCGAACGATTGCGTGTTAGTCGCCGGGTGCACCCCAGGCTTATAAAATAGGCTCTAGTTGGGGAGAAGCTCAGCAAAACAAACTCACTGCCAGCAAGTCCATGCCAGCTCACTGTGACCACGCAGGGCAGTGCAGAACGGCCCTGTGGCACTCGGAGACCGTCGATCTTTACAGCAGTAGAAAGCCGCCTCGTGTCCCTGAGGAGGAGCTCGGCTCAGACCGTCAACCCTGATGTTAGCAGCCCAGTGTATGACCACTGCACCACCAGACTCCTTGGGGAGAAGTTAGTGCCGTTAAACAAACGGGTCCGTTGGCCCCTCGCACTGCCATCCTTGAGCAAAAAGCCTCTGACCAAACCCACTGTTGCTGCCAGCTCCGTGACCTTGTGAGCAGAGGACTGCTTCTTGGGGTTTCAGAGGCTGTATGTACACCAGGAGCAAGCAGCTTTATCTCTCTCTCAGCGTGGCCATGAACTTGAACCACCAAACATATGCCCCTTTAACATAGTCCCGACATTGGGTGTGGGTGTGGGTGTTGATTATGCTTTGCTTTAAGCTAATTTGTATTTGTCCACTCCCAGTCCTTGAGTTAGCCACTTTCCCCAGGAAACCGAGTTCCCTTCACTGGAGAGTCCTGTTAGAGAACTAGATCTGGGCACGAGGTATGCTAGCTGTTCCCGGTGTCGTGCCGCCTAGACCTCTCAGAAGCCGGAGCTAAGAAATATATGTATGTAGATGCACCGGTGTGTAACTGTCTACATCGTTGTGTAGGTAAGCATCAGTCCAAATCCAGCTAAATCCATCACTTCATCAACACGCATTCATAATGATGTCTCCCATGTGAATCGCTGGCCTTCTTTCTGAGTTTATCTGCACCATCCCACCACCAATTAGTGAGAAATCTGCTCCCACCCCCTGCTCTCATTTGTTTAATTGTTCATTTCCAGTCTGTGTGCACAACAGTTTCACAATTGTTCAAGCACCGTATCAATAACATTATCCACTAGAGTGGTCTTTAGATACATTTCCTTTTTGTCGCATAATCTCCACTCACACTGAAAGTCCCTCAAACAGCTCCTTGCCCCCTGCCCTTATCAGTGAAGGGGTTTCCTGAGATTGTTCTTTTTTTCACATTTCATGCTGTGCTCTTCTGATCTCTTCTTGGCTTTTCCCAAATTTGCATCTATTGAGATGTATTCTATGATGTGAATAAAAGTGCCTGGTGTTTGCTAAATACATACTGTCCTGTGTCCACTGAGACAATCCATACAGAAGAGTTTCATCACTTTAAAAAGCAATCCTTTGTTCTTAGCCTATTACCTCTCTGCCTCCCTGACAAACACCGATCCTGGTACTGCTTCTATAGCTTTGCATTTCCCACAGAGGTGACACGTGGAATCACACAGTGTGCAGGCTTTTCACACTGGCGACTTTAAGGAGCTCTGGTAGCCTAGCAGGTTATGCATGAGGTTGCTATTCGAAACTACCAGCCAATCTGAGGATGAAAGGTGCGGTTTTCTGCTCCGGTAACACATACAGCCTCAGAAACCCACAGGGCCAGTTCTGCTCTCTCCTAAAGGGTCGCTATGAGTCAGATCCAAGGATTCAACTAGTTGGCAATGAGTTTGTTTTTGTTTATGATTTTTTAAAGTCTTTCATTTAGCAGTGTTTGTTTCATGTTTATCCCTATTGTTGTGTGATCCAACAGCTCTTTATATCAAAGTTTTGCATTGAATGAACGCAGTACGATGATCTAGTTGCCTATTAAAGTACAATGCGATTGCTTCCAGTTTTGAGGGCTTATACATAAGATGCCCTAAATATCTATTTGTAGGTTTTGTGTGGATATACTTTCAAATCAATTGAGGGAATCCCTGGGAGCAGTCTTGCTGACTCCTATGGTATGACTGTGGCTAGCTGGGTCAGAAACCGATAACCCCTGCACCAAAGTGATGTTATGATGGCGCTTTCTCACCGACAATGAATGAGAGTTCTTGTTCGACATCCTCACAAGCACTTGTTATTATCCGTCCTTGGATTTGAGCCATTCTGATAGGTGTGTAGTAGTCTCTTGTTGTTTGCATTTGCAATTTCCTAATGGCGATGATGTTGAGTGTCTTCTCACATGCTGACTTGCCATCTGTGTATCTTGAGGCTGAAGTATCTGTTCAAATTGTGCCCGATTTTTGATAGATTTTCTTATTTGGGTTTTTTTTTCGAGTTCTCTGTATATTTTAGATCCCTTTTCTTTCTTTTTTCACAGAAAGAGTGGGTTTATTGAAGCGTATTGACTTTTTTATGGAAAAGCCCAGAGAGCCTTTAGCTAGTCTAAAAGGCTTAATGAATCTCTCTCTCTCTCTCTGTCTCTCTCTCTCTTGTAGACCCTCTCTGTGGTTTATTTTGCCTTATTGTTTCTTCTCTTGGAAATGTCTTTGGGTGTCCACTTGTTCCAACATTATTTATTTGTTGGTTGAAAAAAGACCATCCTTTCTCCACGGACTCGCCTCCACTGAACGGTGCTTTGTCAGAAATCATTTGATTACATTTCTGTGGGCTATGCATTGGGGTGCACATCCCAGGGTTAGCAGTTTGAAACCATCAGCCTCTTGACAGTGTTTTATTCCTTTGGTTTCTGTTATTTGTACCCCTTTCAGCACAGGCTCCCAAAAAAGACCCAGGGCAGAGAGAATATTAGACAGGGAGAAGGGCCGTACCAGCCTGCTTCCTCTTGACCTCCCATTCTCGGGTCACCTCTCTTCCTACTTAAGTTACTGAACCAATTTCCCCCTGAGATATCTTCAAACCTCTGAAACGATAGAACTGGACTTCATTTAGCACCAGTGGGTTCTTTTTGAGTAGTAATAATGCTTTGTGTTTATATTACGTCCTTACAAATTAGATAATGTTTACTATTAAAAAAAGGGTCCATTATAACATACAACGCATCATCTGAAACGTAAAAAAAATAGTGTGACTTTCTTCTTGCTGTTTCCAATTTTCTGAACTGTATAGCCACAGCTTCATAGCGTAGTGCAGACTAGGGAGTAAACAGCAGGCTGCTGTCTGCGTGATCCCCAGAGTCCACTTCTCTTGATAACAGGGCTGGCCATTCCTTTAGCTCCATGCCATAATTAAAAAATCTCAAGGACAGGTCTAGAAAAGTGCATGAGAAGCAGGCTTCTAAGATGCAGCCGTTGGTCCCTCCCCATCCAGAGGAAAGGAACGTGGTAAAAATTGGAAAATGAAAGGAAACAATTAGTCCAATGGACTAATCTCCCCAGCCCTAAGACCAGAAGAACCAGGCACGACCTGGCTACCATGACTGATTCCTCCGAGAAGGGTCCCCTTTGAAGGTCCTAGATGGCCTGGGAGAAAAAATGTGGAGCAGAAGAAAATCATAAGAGACCAGCCTTCCTGGTTGGATAGTGACTGGTGGGACCCTCTGGGCTATGGCTGGGAGTCACCCATCAGGTTAGGAACCGAACCCACTCCTGCGGTAGAATCATCAACCACTGAGCAGTAAAGGGGCTGCTTTGACCCCACCACAGAGTGCGGAGGGTCAGGAACAAAGGGGAATGGGATCAGGAAACCCAGGGAGAGCGTGAGGTGAGTGATGGCGCGGGGAGGGGGTTGCAAATGGCTGAGTTTGAAACAACACGTGTGTGAACATGTGTTGAATGTCAAAGTGATGACCTGCTCTATAAACTTGCACTGAAAAAGAAAGGAGCTGAGAAGAAAGGCCCCCTTGGGGGCCTGTCGTTGCCTTGCTCCTGTGGTCCCAGGTTTTACCCCAAGCATGACAGTCAACTGACACATGACCTTTGTGTTTAAGATCGGAGGCAATAAACCAAGAAACCAAATGCTGCTGGAGACGAGCGTGGGATTCTGGGAAAGAGCAGCCTGTCCCCCTGCATCTGAGTTTGCTCTCTCCTCCTCCCTCCCCAGGTCTGACAGAGATGGCCATCTTCAGTTGTGAGGCTCACAATGATAAAGGGCTGACCGTGACCAAGGGCGTGCACATCAACATCAAAGGTAGGCAGCCGGCCAATGGGCCCCTGGGTGTGTTTCAGGAACCGCTGTGGGGCACGAGGCCCAACACAAGCTCCACACCCACAGCTTCTGTGACCTTGGACAAGTCACATCACCTCTGTGACTTCAGTGTGCCCCCTCTGTAAAATGAGGATAATGGCCCAGTGTACCTGTTGTTGAGGGGTCAAATGGCATGCGAAAAGGTAAAGGTTCTCGCTCCAGTGCCTGGCACTGAAGCTTTCTTTTCTTTTCTTTTTTTTTTTTTAAATTGATCATTTATTGGGGGTTCTTACAGATATTATAACAATCCATAAATCAATTATATCAAGCAAACTTGTACAGATGCTGCCATCATCATTTTCAAAACATTTTCTTTCTACTTGAGCCCCTTGATATCAGGTCTTCTTTATTCCCTCCCTTCCCCACCCTACCAGCCTCATGAACCCTTAATAAATTATATATACATATATAATATCCATACATATCTATGTATCCATATCTTATACCATCTGATGTGTCTTCACCCAGTTCTATTATCGGTTTCCCTTGAAGGGGGTTATACATCCATCATGGTTGTCAGTCCCCCTCCCCGCCCACTCCTTCCCCACACCCACGGAATCATTACTCCCATTACGGCTTCTGATGCGTTTACCTATCCTGGATTCTGTGTTGAAAGCGCGTATCTGTACCAATGCATTTACACTGGTCTAACAGGATTTGTGAGGTCGAACTGGGGCCATGATAGTGGGGAGAGGAAGCATTAAAGAACTAAAGGAATGCTTTGTGTTTCCGTCAGTGAGAACATTTTTTTTTTCTTTTTTAACATTTTATTAGGGGCTCATACAACTGTTATCCCAATCCATACACACAAATCCATACACACATCAATTGTGTAAAGCGCATTTGTACATCGTTTCTCAAAACATTTTCTCTCCATTTAACCCCCCTGAAGCTTTCTTTATTAACGTCAACTTGTTTAGCCCAAGAAGAAAACCAACTGAAATACTTAACCTTGATCATTTTTCAGCTCTCTTTTTCCCTCTCCTTTCTTCACCCTGAGCGGTCCTCGTTACCCCTTGAAGAGCATCCGAGATGAGGGAAGACTTGGAGACACTGATAAAGGGAAAGGCGGCCAGGGCCGACTCTGAGGGAGAAGGGTGTGGAGAGCCAGTCAGGGTCCACTCCTCAGCCTGCACCTTCTCTGGAGCTCCCTCTCCCTCTTTTTCCTATCCGCTGGGATTTCTCTCCAGCTGAGCTTGCTTCTGGGTGGTTATAATGACAAGACTCCAAGACCTCTGTCTGGAGCCTCCTTGGGCGAGCAGAGACATTCTAATTGAATCCTGCTGCCGTGTCCTCCGCCTGTATTGGTAAGGGTAGATCAACCTGACCTTTTAGGAACCAAAACAAACCAACCAAAAAGTGAAACAAAACCACGTAGCGCTCCAAAGTGAAAACTGCCGCCTACGGGTTTCAGGAGCGCTGCTTTATGTGAGCAAGACAGCCTCATCTTCCTCCCGCAAGGCAGCGATGGCTTCAAACCTCCAACCCCACGCTTAGCCCGCAGCGCCTTGCCAAAGGAGGGGACCTGAAAGGAAGTGCTAGCTGTGCACCTCTTTAGAGTGATCTTCTCGACCCGCTCATGGAAATCCACACGAGCGTCACAGTTACTATGTTTGCAATGTAGACATCGAGGCGTATGTCAATAGTAGGCTCCCATTCCTATCAGTCTGATCCTTGGGGAAACAGTACAAGGAAGAAAATGGAAAGTGTGTCATGAGCTCCAAGTTGAGCAGCCTACCAAAGGCCGACTCAAAATTCTGAAATACATTACACTGAACAACGATGCTGATGCTTGGCTGTAGTAAATCCACTGGCTAACGGCTCTGAAAGGGCATTTCCTAAACGTTCACTGGAATAGAAACCTGAGCAAAGGAAAAGTTATTACTGGAGGAACTGTATAACTTCCTTCCTTCGTTACACATCCCATTAATGCAGGGTTCAAAGGAAACGTTGGGAATCTCAGGAATTCATGTGTGGGAGTAAATTTATGAAGCTGTTTTCAGAAAGAATAAGCCATAGTAAAAATGGGAAATCCCTAAAAGGGGAAGCATGTCTCAGTGTTGTGCTTTGTACAGACTCCTAGCTAAGATCTTTTAGTAAATCGTCTTTCTAAAACGCATGGCTTTTAACTTTCACTTATTTAGAAAGTTAGGGGCCAAGCTTTCCAAACTCCCTTTTTCTAGCCTCTTCGTGTGGTTAAGTTATAACCTGTAAAGGTGGACATCTGGATAGTTCTAGAAATAATCCGCTTAGGGAAATGATGAAAACAGAATACGCATGTTCTCCCTCTCTGTCCAACGGGAAGAAACGCTGCCCAGTCCTGCACGATCCGCAGCATCGTTGGTGTTTGTGCCCGCTGTGTAGCTGCTGTGTGTGTCAATCCATCTCATTGAGAAGCTTCCTCTTTTTCCCTCACATCCTGCTTTCCCACCGGAGCCCGGGTGGCATAGTGGTTACACACTGGGCTGCAATCCGAAAAGTCAGCAGCTGGAAACCACCAGCGGCTCCTCAGGAGAAGGATGGGCTTTCTAATCCCAAACAGTTCCGGTCTCGGAACCCCACAAGGGCAGTTCCACCCTGCCCCATAGGGTCGTTAAGAGTCAGCATCAATTAATCGAGGGATTGTTGTAAGAGCTAGATGGCAGGGAGGGCTTTTCCTTCTGCTTTACCTTGTATGACGTCCTTCTCGAGGCCTGGAGTCCCTCCTGATGACTTGTCCAAAGCACCTGAGACGGAGCCTCACCGTTCCGCTGCTCAGGAGCACTCTGGCTGTGCTTCTTCAAAGACAGAAGCATCCAGTCTTCTGGCAGCCCTCGGGGTATTGACTAGTCCTCGTCAGGACCAGAACTCCGCTCCGTCAGTTGTTCGGGCTCCCTGGTTCATTCCCTAGCTTTCACACGCATGGGGGCCATTGAACATACGTCGCTTGGGTCCTGTGCACCTCAGGTGACTGAGACCTGTGCGTTTTAACACTGGAGAGAGGTCTTTTGCAGCAGATTTTCCCAGTACATCATCTGGTTGTCTTTTTTTTTAAAGATCATTTTATTGGGGGCCCTCACAGCTCTTATAACAATCCCTCAATTGTATCAAGCATATCTGAATATATGTTGCCATCATTATTTTCTAAACATTTACTTTCTATTTGAGCCCTTGGTATCAGCTCCTCTTTTTTCCCTCCCTTCCCCGACTCTTACCCTCGTGAACCCTTGATAAATTATAAATTATTGTTATTTTCATATCTTACACTGACCGCTGTCTCCCTTCCCCCACGATTTCTGTTGTTCCTTCCCCCCTAGGGGTGGGTGTGTGCTTATGTGTCCATCCTTGCGATCGGTTTCCCCCTTTTCCCTCTCTTCTCCCCACCTTGTCCTACCCTCCCGGTATCGCTACTGCCCTTTCTGTACCTGAGGGGTTTATCGGACCTGGATTCCATGTGTCGGGAGTCATTTGATTTCTTGGCTCACATCCATGATTGTGGACTGTGGATCTGAGTCAAATGAAAGCCTCGATAACTCCCGTATTTCTTCTATTTATCACGACATTGCCGACCCGGTGCAACTCAGAGGGGCTTGTACTCTGCGTGATGAGATGTCATCCATATCGCAGGTTGTAGGTCTTGGTCGCAGTCAGTAAATGTTTCACATCCTCTCCATTTTGAGCTAGCAAGGTTGTGTCATCGCAGGGTTGCTAATGAGTCTTCCTCCAGTTCTGGTGCCAAGTTCTTAACATCATCCAGCTTCTTGGCTTATTTACTTGGCACGCAGATGGAAAGGATACAACCCTGACACATGCTTCCTGGTTTTAAACCACGTAGTGTCCCTGGTTCCGTTCAAACAACTGCCTGTCGGACTGTGTGCAGATTCCGCTGAAGCACATGGCGTGTCCTGGAATTCTCATTCTTCACAACGATATCCATAACGTGCTCTGGTCCACCCAGGCAGCACACAGTCAGCTTTGCAGGCAGAGCAAGCATGCTCACTCCCTGTGCCCACCCAGGCTTCCTGAGGCTCGATAGCAGGTTTGAAAGAGGAGTCACCCATGCTGAAAGAGTAAGCAAGGCCTTCTGGAGCTGTCTTCTAATGACAGAATGACCTGCCTGCTGCCTGCCCAGGAACATGGAATGGAGGCCTGCATTCCAGCCTCTGACTAAGTTAGGAGAACTTTTATCTGGAAAAAACTATGTGAAAACACTCATTTCCTGTAATGAGCTCATGCTCACGGACCCTGTTGTGTGCAGGTACTCTGCACGGTATTCAGGGTCAGAACCCTGCCCTCCTGGAATACACCCTTTGAGTGGCAGAGGCTCTCGTAGCTCGGAGTCCACCCAGAGGCATCCAGGAAGAAACATCTGAAGAGCTAGTCTGGCAAATCAGACACTGGAAACCCCGGGGAGCACACATGGGGTCCCCAGGAGTCCGAGTGGACTTGATGAGGTGCACCTGGTTTGGTTTGGTTTTCCAGCCTTCTACTTTCTCGTTTTCTTCCTCTTGATGAATCCTAATGGATTTGGTATTAATGCACCTGTTGACTGGTGGTTTATCATTGTGATTATGTCTGTGTGTTGTTGTTGTTTTTTACTTAGTAATCCCCTCACCGCCCACCGCAGTCCAGGTTCACAACAGCACTGCACACAGCATCCTGATCTCCTGGGTTCCCGGCTTTGATGGCTACTCTCCCTTCCAGAACTGCAGTATTCAGGTAAACTTCCAAGACGAAGGGGGAACTAGGTTGGCACTTTGTCGATGTACTTTATTCTTCTTCTTGATGAAAGGTTTTGCCATGTCCGTGCTATCCATGACAGAACATGTGAGCCTTTGGGGAGAGTCTCTTCTGGGCACTCTGGGCTGACCACTGGACAGTCTCCACCTCCGTTGATTCTCATGACCCCTCTATCCTGTTCAGAGCTCACCATGCACGGGCTGTTTCATGGTCACCTGCCACAGGGGCAGCCTCCTTCCTGTGCAGGGGCCGGGGCCTAACCAGAAGAGAGGCAGGTCTCTAAGGGACATTCAAGTTTTAAGGTACAACTATACTTCTTACATTCAGACCTCCAGCATGAATTATAACCGTCAATATGTATTATACCTGAATGTCAAGAAAATTGAACTCCTCACAAATTGGCCAGTAAACAATCTCATGATAAAATGAAAGAGAAACTGACACTCCTAATGATGACTTTTTACATAGGTCAACAATGCCCATGAAAGCAGCAGTCGGAAAAAAAAAAGTTAAACGATGGTATTGCATTGGGCAAATCTGCCACCAGAGGCCTCTTTGCAGTTTTGAAGACTCCGTGGCTGGAGTCCACAAAAACTCCACATTCTCTCCACGGAGTTAAGTGCTTGGCTGCAAACCCAAAGCATGGCAGTTCCCACCGACACAGTAGCTCCCCAGGGAGACCTGGGCCAAGACCCTGCTCTAGGGCAGTGCAACTGTACCACCCGGCACTGCCGGGAGTCAAAATCTGCTTGATGGCAGGGAACAACCATCAACTAGGAGTTGCTCATGGACCAGAGAGGAGTCCTGGCAGTGCACTGGCTACATGTGCAGCTGTTAACCAAAAGGTCCCAGATGGAACCTACCAGGCTTTCTGTGGGAGAAAGGGGAGGTGGTCTGCTCCCATAAAGATAAGAGCCTTGGACACCTCACGAGGCTGTTCTAATCTGAGCGACATGGAATTTGAATCACCCTTGAAGGCAGTGGGCTCAGGGTTTGTGGAGCAAGAGTTCAGGACACCCATCACTCTTCATGCTGGTTCCTCCTGGACTGCTGGCCAGGGAGGCATGGAAGCCAGCACATCAGCCATGAGCTTTAGCCAGGGACTCCTTACATCAATCATTCTTTAACCACGAACCTTGGTATGAAATGAAAAGCTAGGTTAGCCATCCTAAAATGATGCCTTGCTGGGATGTAGGCCTTGCACTGCATGTTCCTTACATGCAAATGGAAACAGTAGCAAGACCAGAACCATTCATAGGGTGCCCATTAGCTACAACGCACACTAGTGCGCAGGCTCACAGGAAGCGTTGACGAAACCAGGAAATCCTGATGCCCAGACAGTGCCCATTGCCATCTGCTCCACCTTGTCTCAGAAGCGGCGGTGTGTGTGGCAGCAGGTAATGGAACACGGGCAGCTTGTCCACTGCAAGCATGCATGTATGCTGCCTTCCCCTTAGTCATACAGTGGGGTTGGCAACTTCTCTTAGGTCCAGACGTACTTGCTTTTAGTTAAAAACACTTTAACTTGACATGAGCCAGCTATGCCAGCTCGGTTTAGGCAAGTGACTTCCAAATAATTTTGTGTTGACAACTGATGTTTGTAATAGCAGCTTAATTTTTCTGCTCTGAAGGCCTCCCACTCTTACCTAACAGCTGTTGTTTCTCTGATGGGTGAAAACACACGTTATCCACAAAATAGCCTCCACCCTCACCCACCACCCCCAGACTTGCTTAACTCTTACCCAACTCTATTTGTAAACCTCGCAAGGATTGCTAACTATTAGGGATTCTTATGTGTGGCTGTCTTTTTAAAAACAAAGCAAAAATTTCAAAGATAGAGTTCACCTATAACATTCACCCACTGAAAGGGTATAGTTTGGTTTTTGTTTTCGTATATTCAGAGTTCTGTACATGCTGCCATCTCATTGTAGAATCACGTCTTCACGCTCAGAAGAAACCCCGTGCCCGTCAGCAATCACTTTTCAGTCACCCCCTCCTGCATCCCCTGGCAACCATTCATTTATATTTTTGTCTCTAGATTTGCCTTTTTTGGATGTTTCCATGTGATATGTAGTTGGGGGTGGTGGTGGATAAAAGCTTGGGGGAAGGTGTGGTCTGTCCTCTAAGTGAACGAGGGTGGAAGAGAGGAATCAAGCTCATCAGTATCGTCTGCCCAAGTCCGATTCCTACGAGTCAGAAGTCAGACCTTTTTACCAGTTCTGATCCCAACGACCCTCACGGGGCACGCTCTACTTTTCCTCTATATGTGACCATCTATGGCAGCGGCCACACAGAACTCACAACACTTACGATCATGCGGTTTCTTAAGAAGTTAACAGGTACAATTCAGGTTCAGGAATGTTCCGGATACAGTTCTTTGAGGACAGCCTCAGCGATAGTCCACAGGCCTATACAGTACGTCTCTTTCTGGTCTTTTGGCCTGGTCTCTGCCCTGTTTTGATAAGGGTCACAAAATTCTTTTATTAGTTCTGCCAATTAAGTTCCCAGAGGCACCTCACTCTGCCAGAAAGCCTTGTCCCCAAAGTGCTCAGGTCTAGCTCCAGGAGTCAACACATGTAGCTCCCAGATAAGTGCACGGAGACACAACCTCCTGCCACTGCACGAGCCAGGGAGCCTAGCATTCTGCCTCTGACTGGCCTCTTGGTTCTGCCCCCACGTTCCCCTGCGGCGGCTGCTTTCACCATGTCTGGGGGAGCAGCCCTCTGCCTCCTCGGTGAAGAAGCTTCTCTTGAGTACAAGGATCTGCATCTAAAAGACACACTCCACTTCTGACTCTCTCTCTTTCTGCTAGTGAGATTTTGTTTCCCTTTCCACGTCTGCAACGGCTCATGGTAAGCCAAGCAGGATGGCAAAGCGTACCATCGGACTGATAACTTCTTGATAAATAGAGAAAGAAAATGAAATTGCCGATGGTTTCTCTCGACTTGGATGAATGTTCTTGGAAGAGCCGCCGTCAAGAAGTGAAACCCCATGCCACGGGGCAAACTTTGTGAAAAAGACTTTTTAAAACAGAGATGTCACTTGGAAGACTACCGGGAGCCCGACCCCCCACAGTGGTCTTTTCAGTCGCCTCGTGAGCATTCAAAACCTGGGTGGTGGACAACGATGACAGACGATGACAAATGGATGTGCTCCGAGGTCCAGATCTGACCGGTGGTCCTTGTATGCCTTAGTTTCCCCCACAGCCCTCGCTGGGTTCGTCAGGATCGACTCCAGTAGATAGTCTGCGGACGTTCCGGGTGTTGTCCCTCTTGGAAAGCACCAAGTATGGTTTTGCAGCATGTTCCCGGTTTATTACAATTTTAAACCCTGACGTGGTAACAAATGAATGTTTTGGACAAGACTCAGGGCGCGCTGGCAGGGCACACCCTCCTGCTTCCTTTGAAATCCTGACATCAGTTCCTGTCTTCATTCATTTGAGGGCTGTGGACTCCATTTCTATTTTTAACTCCCCCACGTACTTCTTACCATTTTCTGCCCTCTTGTCCCCCAGGACCCACTGAGAACTGTTATAGAAACCCTGACTTCTTCCAGGAACATGCCCCCCAAGAGTGTCCCCGTGGCTGGAAACGCACTACACTCTGGCTCCAGAAATGAGGCCGAGGTGGAGAGCCGAGGGTTTCCTCAGGCACAGCTTTAGTGGTCGGTCACCAGGAAGTAGGTGCAAACTTGAAAGTGAAAATTACAAAGAGAATTGCTGCTAAGAACCGCCTGTGAAAATGAGCACTGGGTTCCTGCTGTCTCCTCCTGGGACCCTCAGGCAACTCCAGCCTTTCTGCCACCCAGGGAGGTCTGCCAGGTCTGAGTCAGCGGTGACACTGGACCCCCATGCCACCCTTAGGGGATCCACTGGGGAACGTGGAATTCCAGAATGTTCATTTGTGGTCCCTTGACCTAGATTTCAAACATATGTATTCTGAAATAGCAGTATTATGTATCCATATCCCACAGCAAGCCCATTATTAACCGGAATCTGTTTTGTGGCTTTCAGTGGTTGCTTCTTCTTTTCTCCAAATCGCTTTTGGTGGTTTGGTGGTAGCCAATCTGATGTTTGTTCTTTGGACTGCATCCGTACTATAACTTGTAGACGTTGTGGCGGGGAGTTATAGCTAAAGAAAATAACTAGTCCACATCATCTCGACATTTCTCTTAAGGTTGGATTTTTCCCTCTGTGAATTCCCCCCGCCCATCAGTGCTTCAGAGGCCGTCTGGAGAGAGTTGTGAGGAGGGGTGGGATTTCTGCAGGGGAGGACCGACAAAGAATGCATGGGAAAGACTAGTATGGTCAAAGGGGATTTGGAGGAAAGTTTGGTGGATGAGAAGCAAATGACTGATTTTTTTTTTGGCCTCCCCCCCAAAACCTATAAAGTCATCATTATCTATGTACGCTTTGGGAGTCAGATTTACATTAGCCGGGGAGGGAATAAAAGACCTTAGCCCCAAGGCAAGAGCAGGGGTTCCTCAGGTTACAAAACGAAACCCCATTTTCATTTGGTTTTCAAGAGATTCCTGGTTGTGACTGTTGTTTGAAACCGAGAGCCCCGTCTTCCACAACAAAGATCGGCACACTCCTGCTTCAGAGGCGCAGGTGGTGATGCTGTCCGCTTGTCCAGCCGTCGAGGGTGTGCCCAGGCGTGTCACGTAGTCTCCATCGTTTTACGTTATGGCCCTTGACAGATGTCAAGAAGCACTTTTAGCTCCGCCCGTTGGGGAAAAGTTCCCTCTGTGGATGTCTTGGAAGATATCCTTTTTCAGTGTTTTTCCAACTCCCTTATGTGTGTCTGTTTTCAAAATATAGTTTAAACTGTCACCGAGTTCTTAGCTAGCCTCCACATGCAGTTATGGAGCCAATTCCTTCCCTGGCACTGAGCCCTCCCCTCTGCCATTGCCCATGGGACGCGCTGTTACATTCGCGTGTGGGTGACACGCACCGGGACGTGGTTGTCCGGTACGCACAGCGTCTTAGACCTCTGGTGAGTATTCTGTAATTCGACTTCCAGCTTGTTTCCAGACTTTTACTCTTGAAACTGACGTCAATGAACAGTTTGTACCTCCGAATTTGGGAGCACCCCAAATGCTGGTGGGAATGTGCAAAGCTGGTTATGTAAGATGGCCGCTCTGAAAAAGCTTGACCTTTTCTCCAAAACTAAACTTGCAATCCCACGTGACCTCGTGATCTCACTCTTAGGCATTTAGGTGAGAGAAATAAACATGGTAAAGACGCCTAGGTGCCCTTCAGCCAGTGAAAGGATGAACAAGCTGGCCCATCCACGCATCCTGGCTGTCAGGTCCCACGCAGTGGATCTTGAGCCATTGCAACCCTTTGTGACGGCTTAGAATTGCCCCCATGGGTTTTCTAGGCTGTAGTCTTTCTGGGGTCATCCTACCAGGGCTTTCTCCGGAGGAGCCACGTGGCAGGTTCAAAGCACCATGAACTATGACTATGCTACAAAGGAATGGACTACTGGCCCAGGGGACAATGTAAGTGGACCTCAGGGGACTTCTGCTGAGTGAAAAAAGCCAGTCCGTAAAGGTTCTACACCGGATGCTGCCATTTAGACCACCCTCAAAACCGACAGGATTACAGAGAATGAAAACAGGCTGGTGATTGCCAGGGGACGAGCAGGGAGGAAGGTGCGGGGCTGACTGTACAGAGATTGTGTGATGATAGGACCATTCTGTGTCTTTTTTTTTAAAGAAACCCAAACCCACCCCTGCCTTCAAGTCAATGTTGGCTCCTAGCCACCCCATACTATAAATCCATGAGGAAGCAGACTGCTTCCTCTTCCTCACAGGGAGCTGCCAGAGGGCTTCAATCGCCTCCCTTGCAGTTAGCCACCCAAATGCCACCGTGCCACTGAGATCCTTAAGGACCCAGAGGAGGGAGGAAACCTTAATAAGTTAAGGTTAGCGGTATCGAATGCTCGTAGACTTGGTGATGCAAAGCTCAATCCCACCATTACCACCCGAAACCCCTGTCTCTTCTTCCCCCAGCCCCTGGTAACCTTTTTTTTTTTTTTTGTCTTGATGAATTTGCCTATTCATATATGGGGACAATGGTTCAGTGGTAGCGTTCTTGCCTTCTGTGTAGGAGATCAAGGTTCAGTTCCAGGCACAGCCACCACCTGTCTGTCCACTCAGATTTGTGTGTGGCTACGATGCTGAACATACTTGGGCATCAGAGGAGGCCAGTCCCTGGAGAAGGACATCACCCTTGGTCAAGGAGCGGGGATGTTGAAAAAGGGGAAGCCCCTGCATTAGAGGGATTGAACGCCGTGGCTACAAGAAGGGGCTCCACCATCAAAAGAGTTGTGAGAATGGTGCAGGACCAGGCGGGGTCGGTTTTGTTGTACTTGGGGGACCATGAGTGGGAACCAACCTGACGGCACCTAGCAACAACCACAGCAACATGAGGCTGAGCAGCTCTCAGCAGCGCTCCCCAACGCAGGTGGACTAGGAAGACAGGCCTAACTAATCAGCCCCTGAAAAACTTCCCAGATCATAATGGATCCCAGCCAATCGGCGGGATGGCACAGGACTGGGCAGTGTTTTATCCTTGTGGGCATGGGTTGCTGTGACTCACAGGAGCCAACAACAAGAAGGTATTTTACTTATGTCAGCTCTTTTCTATGTAGCATCCTATCTCCCAGGTTTCAGTGGGAGTAGCGTGTGTCGGGACTTCCTCTCGCCTTTAGGTGGCACACATTTGGTTGGCGCATTCCTCTGTTGAGCAGCAGTTGGGTGGCTTCCACGGAGTTCTAGATCTTGAGAGTGGAAGTAGCTACATAAAGCAACACCTGTGGTGCCGTGTCCTGGAACTGCATCCATGAAGAAGTGCTTGTAAGATCATCTGAAGGAGCACTATGACTTGTGCCGGTGCCACTTTCCTAGTTGAGTATTGTGCTATCGTGAGGAGACACACTACCATTGATGGAGGATGGGCAAGAGAGGCGTAGGACGTCCTTCTACTGTTTTTAAAAACAAAACAAATCAAAACAACCTCTTGAGAGTTATAGAATCCCAGATCAACTAGGAGAGGCTAGCAAAGTCTAGGAAGTGCTCCATTGACGATCTCAAGTTGGCAAATTGTGTGTAGTCATATGGGTCAGGGCCATTTGAGTTCAGCAAACCTGAAAAGGTTTTGTAGGAAAACGTACTAATGGTCTCAGTGGATCATTTGGAAACAGACTGAAGCACAGTTGAAGTCTCATAGCTTGAGCAGTGTGATTTAAAAATAGAAAAGGAACTGGTTTATAGTTCTGATACAGAGACTTATTTTAGATGGAGCAGGAGATTAAACAAACAAACAAACTCACTGCCACGGAGCTGGTGCTGACTGACTCATAGCGGCCATGTAGGATAAGATCGGGCTGTCCCTGTGGGTTTACAAGACTGTGATTTATGTGGGAGTAGGAGCGGCCGGGAGCCAAACTGCTGACCTTGAGGGTAGCAGCCCAGTGTGTAAGCACTGTCTACCAGGGCACCTGTGGAGCAAGGTGTTAGGAGTCATTGAGTCCGTTCCGGTCCATAGTACCTTATGCACAACATAATGAAACACTGTCCTGTCCTGGGCCGTCCTCACGATTGTTCCAATGTTTGAGCCCATTGTTAAAGCCACTGTGTCTATCCATCTCCTTGCCAGGGCTTCCTCTTTTCCACTGCCCCTCCGCTTTACCGAGGATAATGACCTTCTCCAGGGACTGGTCTCTCCTGACAACATGTCAGAAGTATGTCAGACGAAGTGTCGCCGTCCTTGCCTCCAAGGAGGACTACTTCTTCCAAGACAGACCGGTTTGTCCTCTCAGCAGTCCATGGTTCTTTCAGTACTCTGCCGCAGGACCACAATTCCAACGCTGCGTTTCTTCTTTGGTCTTCCTTGTTCAATATTGAATTTTCACATGCATATGACCCAATGGTTTGGGCCAAGTGCACCTTCATCCTCAAGGTAATATCCTTGCTTTTCAATATTCTATCAAGGTCATGGGCAGCAGATTTACCCCAATGCCATGTGGCATTTGATCTCTTGGCGGTTGCTTCCAAGAGCATCAATTGTGGATCCAAGCAAGACAAAGCCCTTGACAGCGTCATCCTTTTTTCCATTTATCACGATGTTCTGTATTGGTCCGGTTGGGGGCATGCGGGTGTTCTTCACATTGAATTGTGACCCACACTGAAGGCTGCAACCCTTGATCTTCATCAGCAAGTGCTTCAAGCCCTCCTCACTTTCAGCAAAGAACATGTGGGGTGGGGACATCATCAAAAGGGGAGAAAATAAAAAGATGTGAAAGGACAGCATCATGTGAATGACACAGGGGAGCTTGAGTTCCTTCTAGTGGGTGAACTCTGCCCTGTGAGCTCCCAATGCTTGGGTCCCAGCAGTGTCAGATCCTGGGCAGTCTCTGCTCCGGCCTCTTGGGATGAGCAGCCGAGGCATCTGCTTGCTGCGGTTTATCATCTCTGTGAGTTCTAGGCCCTGTGTGCATTACTCATTGAAGCCCTGCATTGTGTTAGAACATTTAAATCTGGCAGGGAAGGACCGTGTCATTTTGCTGGTGCCTGTCAGGAGAGAGGTCTGAGAAACCGGTCCGAGAGGAAGGCATGGAGTGTGCGGATCTGAGGGGGGAGGGGTGCCTCTGTTTTATTTTATAACAATAAGCATCGACTCTGTTATTTGCAGCAGTGGGAATGCTTTAGGCATTTCCCCCAGGGCCCCAATTCTTGCTCTAGTAGCATGAGTAACACACAGTAATGCTGGTGGGAAAAGTGAGTGGGCCCGGAAAGGAAGCAGGTACATCCCCTGGGTGGAGAGGAAGGTACCGTGTGCCCTGAATACATGCATGCCCGTCTCTCTTATTCTCAGCATCTTGTTGACACCGGGTCCCCTCTTTTTGTTTTCTTCGTGCAGGTCAAGGAAGTTGATCTGCCGAGTAATGGCTCACTCATGGTCTTTAACACCTCTGCTTCACCACATCTGTATCAAATCGAGCAGCTGCAAGCCCTGGCTAATTACAGCATCAGTGTTTCCTGCATGAACGAAGTCGGCTGGTCTGCCATGAGCCCTTGGGTTCTGGCCAGCACCACGGAAGGAGGTAACGCTGAGTTCAGAATGAGTATTGCCCTGATGGCGTGTGATTAAACAAATCCCTCCCACTGTCCTCGGGCAGAGTTTGAACTTTGTTCTGTTTGGTCTATGCTTACAGAGGAGAATGTGAGTTGAGGTGGTCAACGAAAATGGGGAAAAAGTATATTTCCTTATGTGCTGGAAAAGGCGTTAGTAGTAAACTTGTACTTCCTGTGTATAGGTCAGTATATTCTTTTACGTGGCTTGGGTCAAGTACCTTGGAATAAACTCACATCACCAGAATAAAAAGAAGAGCCATCAAACATGACTGATGATGGCCACTGTTCGAGGTTTTATTCGGTTCAAAATGCTGTCTGATTTCCATCTTGAGGTTTTCCTATGTCCTCTGAGCTTTTTCTAAGTGTGTTAAGTTAGTTTTCAGATATCTGGGGATTTTCCAGTGGTCTTTGCTATTATTTTAATTTAGGGCCAGAGAATATACTTGGTATAGTGTGAAACCTTTCACATTTACTGAGACTTGTTTGATGGCTCAAAATAGGATCAATTTCAGAAAGTGGGTGTCCCCTGGGAGAGAATGTGTCGTCTGTTAGTTCAAGTTGATTGCTGGTAGTTGTCAAACCTGTGCTCCTTGTTGGTTTTCTGACCGCTGGTTCTGTTAGACAGAGATGAGCGTTGAAATTCACAACAGAAATTGCAGATCGACATATTTTATCTGTAGTTTTACCAGTTCTTGCTTCACATTGTCATGAAGTTCTCTTATTTGGGGCATACAGAGCTCCCATTTTTATGTCCTCCTGATCACTTGACCTTTCATTGTTATGCTCTGACTTTACTATGTTTCCTCCGAAATCTAGTTTGTCTGATATTAATATAGCCAGGCAGTTTTATTTGGAAGAGTCTTGGCATGTGGAAGTTTTGCTCATGTTTTATTTTAATTTTTTTATGTCTGTATATTTACTTTCTCACATGATTGTTTTCACCCGTGTTCATTTATTCCATGCATCTCCTGTTTGGCCATATGAAATGCAATTATAATTTTTAAAAATCATTTTATTGGGGGGCTCATGCAATTCTTATCACAATCCATACATCCATCCATTGGGTCAAACACATTTGTACATTTGTTGCCATCCTCAGTCTCATGTACATACATTTTTAATGATAATTGAATTTTGGGTAAAAGTTTACACAGTGAGTTAGGTTCTTATTGACAATTTCTGTACACTTGTTTGGCGACCTTAGTTACATTTTACATTATGTATCAACATTCTCTGTGTGGTACTCTAGTTTCTGTGTCCCCTCCTATCGTCGCATCGTTGTTTTTCAGAAATGGATAGCCTCGGGGTTTCATGCTGGTGTTTCTAAAGAAAGGCGCTGAGCTTAGGGGCAATGCCCTGTGTTTGTGTGCTACTCTGCTCTTTCGGTGAAAGATGGTCTGGGGAGAAGCTCGGCTCCAGATTTAGAGGGGTCTCCGGGCTCCTCGGGGCTCCTCTGTTTGAGTTTGTCTGTTTTTGTTTTTGTAATTAAGAATTTGAGTTCTCCCTATTTTACTCCTGTTCTACCTGGGCCATCCATTGTGGCCCCTCCCACATAATACTTTTCTATTTACTTAGTTATTTTAGGAGTATTTTCAAACTTGCTATTAGATGGCCCCTTGATTCCTATGAGAAAATTATGTATTTACATATGTTATAAGCTTGTTTTAAGTAGTAAAGAAAATTGATTAAATATTGATGAATGACTGTTGAACTCATAGCTAATGTATATGTAGTTTTCTAGCAAAACAATTCTTTCCAGTCTATTTGTGTATATGTGAATAAAGACTGGTAGATCTTTGAGGACTAAATATTGCAAGGCACTGTCTCTAAGTGCTTTAGGTAACCCAACTCATTGGATACTCATCAATAGTTCTGTGAGGGAGTCGCTATTACTGATTTTCATCAATGAAATGAATAATTTCCATCAGTAAAGTGATGGTGTATTAATGAAGCACTCAGCTGCTACCTGGAAGGCCAGTGGTTGGAGCCCGGCTTCCCCTCCACAGGAGAACACTGTGGCAGTTGGCTTCCATGCAGATCACAGCCTTGGAAACCCTAGGGCAGCGCTTCTCAACCTGGGGGTCGTGACCCCGCAGTTATAATTTTTAATGTCTTTGTATGCCTTCTTCTGTGTCATTCTGGAATGATTTCAATGGATTCACTATGTTTCTCTTAGACTGTGCTGGATGGTATATTCCAGTTCCTCTTTGCCTGCCTCATAATCTTTGGTTGGATTCCAGATGTTGTGGATTTTGCCGGGTCAAGTGTTAGGTGTCTTTTGTATTTCTTTGAGCCTTAAGCTTTGTTCTGGGACAAGGTCAAGCCAGTTGGAAACAGTTTGATCCACTTGCCAGGCCAGAGCAGTGTACACTCTAGGCTGTCATCATTTGTCTTTGGAGAGCATCGTTTGCTTAATGTTTTTTGGGTTTTTTTTTGCTTAATTATACCTTCTTCAGCTCTTTTTTGTCTTCCAAAAATGTATTGGAATTCTTCTACAGTTGACTCCTTTTTGCCTCTGAGTTTCTTTTTTTTTTTTTTTTTTCATTTGATACTGTCCTAGGTGGGGGTACAATTAAGTTGTGTTGGATCTCTCAAATGTATCCATACGTTGTACAGCAGATTTTTAAGTCTGTGAGTGACTAGAAGACACAGGTTTACTGCATGATGTTGCCTGAACTGAGATTCCTTCTGATGCTATGATTCCTGTTCATGGACTCTGGTTTTCCTTTCTGGAATCTTCCACACTTAACATTGCCTATGAGTTTATAGTTTTTTTGTTTGCTTTTAATTTAGTACTATCAATAATTTGTTACTCCTTGCCATCAAGCTGATTCTGAATCATAGCAACTCTACAGAGCAGAGTAGATCTGCCCAAGGGGGTTCCCAAGGATGTCAGTCTTTATGGGAGCAGACTGCTCCCTCGTCTGTCTTTCTCCTGCGAAGCAGCTGATAGATTTCAACTGCTAGCCTTTTGGTAACAGCTGAGTGCTTGCTTAACCACTGCATTACCCGAATGCCTACTGTCGTCTTCTCTCACCGTCGTTGAGTTAATGCTGACTCCTAGCGACCCACTGTGGGTTTCCGACACTGTAACTGTTTATGGAGTGGAAAGCCCCGTATTTCTACCAAGGAACTGCTGGTGGTTTTGAACTGCAGACTATGTGGATCGCAGTTCACTACACCACAGGGCTTCATACTGTCATATTAGGAGGTTAAATTATACATCAGAGATGAATACAACCCTTGGTAAGTTTCATTAGATTTTCTTCTTCCCATATATAACACTTTATTGTTTCTAAAATCGGAGGCTCTCCTACTCCTGTAATGATTTATTATCTTCGGAACTCTGCACAGGGTTGCTATTACTCAAAATTGATTCTGTGACAATGGATTGGGTTTGGTTGGTGTTTTTAATTATTTTTTCTGAAATGTATCATTTTACTTTTATATATACCTTTTTGATGCTTTTTCTCCATTGCATAGTCTTGTCCATTTTAATGTGTGCTAGTGTCAGGTGCTGTTGAGAGGATTCTGATCCACGACAATACCGTGTTTCGGAGGAGACCTCGCTTTAAAGGCAGACTATTCAGAAGTAGATTGCCAGGCCTTTCTTCCGCAGTGCCTCCAGGTGGACTCTTGGTTAGCCTCTGAGCTCATTAACTGTGTATACCAGCCAGGGACTCCATCGGTACACATAGACTTAATTAGTTCTTTTCAGTGGCTGGGAGTAAGCATTCCATTGGATAAATATATCAAAACTCACTGTGCTGTGACTACTGATGAGTATTATATTTATTTCTGTTGGGGGTCACTATTGTGCTGCAAGCTACAAGAGAGCTTTCTAGGATAAATTCCTGCAAGTGAAAATCCTTGGCCAAAGGTAGTGTTGTAGTCAGTTTTCCAGTTTCCTCTTCCCCAAAAGACTGCAATGATAACCTCGCCTTATTCCCCGACTGCATATGTATAATCTACAGACATGTGTTCTAAATGTATTGACTCATAAGTCAGTGAGTCTCTACAGACTTACTTTTAAAGTGGGGGGTGCAGGGTCAACCACAATTCCTGTGTCATTTGGGTGCCTTTCCTAGAACGCTTGAAAACCAAGCCCCCACAAGCCAAGAAGAGAATGGATCTGTGTGTGTCTCATTGTGACTTGAGCTCCCTCTCTATTCTTTTGTAGCCCCCTCAGTAGCCCCCCTGAATGTCACTGTGTTTCTGAACCAATCGAGTAACAAGGTGGACATCAGATGGATCAAACCTCCACTACTGCGGCAGAATGGGGAGCTGACGGGGTACCGGATCTCCCACACATGGCAGAGTGTGGAGACATTTGTAAGTCTGAACCCTGAGACAGCAAGCTTAGCTGTCTGCTTTCAACCGCTTAATACTGTTTTAGAAGCTTCTATTTTCTTTAGTGACTGCGTCATACAAGGAACCTTTAATGGAGACAAAAACAGAGTCATAAAGATTAGAAGTGACTGATTACTCACTACCATCGACTCAATGCTGACTCATAGCGACCCTATAGGACAGTGTAGCACCACCCCTGTGAATTTCCAAGACTGTAACTCTTTATGGGAGTAGAAATCCCATCTTTTCCCCATGGAGCGGCTAGTGATTTTGAACTGTAGACCTTGTAGATTGCAGCCTAGAACGTAACTACTGTGCCACCAGAATTCCTAGAGGTGGCTGTGTATGTACAAAATGCCATCGCTGGCCCATCCATTCATGCCTCCAGTAACTATGTTTAGAACTCCTTCCAAGGGCAAGGTCTTTTGCTGTCTCCTAATTCTTGCTTTCGGGAGCCACGGCCCAAGTAGGGAGACAGTGTGGGCCGCTGAAGCCACCATTGCATAGTACCAAGGAGTTACACGGCTTAGCAGTTGAGCAATCCATAGCCTCTCGGAAGTTCCCACGAATGCTTTCCTGAAGATTGCCAGGGATGAACCCCACCCTCACAGAGGATGACCCGGGAAACCAGACTCTGAAGGTGGTGTCCAGCCTAGAGAGCAGGCAGGCTAACTAGAGCTCCAGACCAGCCAGAGGTAAACACGGCTTAATGTATCCCTCACAGAACAGGACACTGCGGGGCATCCGCCTGGAAGAGCAGGTCCTTTGCCCCCATTCCTTGTAGTGACCCAATGGACTCGCATGATGGGTCTGACCTAGGGCCAAGGGCTCAGGACTTACAGTAGCCAGGAACAAATAAGCCCACCCACTTCCGCAAAGCAGGTACCCTGTGACCACCTTGATGTGCTTTTTTACCGATGTGACCAGGAACCCAGTTGGGCCTGTGGGTTACATGTCGGGCTGGTAGCAGAAAGTTGGCAGTTTGAAGCCCCAGCTGCTCTGAGGGAGAAAGATGGAGCAATTTGCTGTAAAGATCTAGAGCCTCGGAAACCCCGTGGGGCAGTTGGGCTCTGTCCTTAAAGAGCCAACTTTGAGTTGGCATTGACTTGTGTGGTGACCTGCCCCAGCAATGGCTCAAGGTCCCGTGGTTTGGCATGCTCAGCAAAGATGTGCAAGGGCACCGAGGACCTGTGGCAGCCTGCCTCTGTCAACAAGGTGGCACTCGATCTGGGCCTGGGGTTATTTGGACAGATCAATATTGAAGAAAGAGTTTTGGGTAGGGAAAAATAACATGAAGGGAGGCCTGATGTGACCGCTTTGGGCGAGCTGTCACTTGCCTGAAGTCCAGGAAGTAGAGTCCTTTTACCGAGGTGCAGGAGAAGCTGGAGCACGGAGCTGTCCCAGTAGGCAGAGTCTCAAAGGTAGCCAGGGTGACGAATTGAATTTGGGGTAGCTAGCAAGGGAGTCTAGGAGAAATTTGAAACCCAGGGATATTTGGATTTTATTATTTACAATGCTTGGATCACATAGGCTGGTGAGACACAATGGTTGTTTAAATAAATAGTGAAGGGCTTTTATACTTCTTCAACACCTGGGGAAACGACTGCCTAAGTTCGAGGGTCCAGGGTCAATGGCAGAGTTGACCTTTCAGACAATGTGTGGAGGGGAAAAAAACCCTAAAGGATCTGTGCTCTAACCAAAAGGGTTAGGAGCGGGCTCTGAAGTGTAAGTCCTCCTTTAAACACCTGATGAGACAGTCTTTTTTCCACTGACAGATTAACATCTGCCCTGGCTACCTGACTGCCTTGAAAAGGGGTACTTCTGGGAGGGGGGGG